GAGGTGTGCAGGGCAGAGGGGGAATAAAGGGGAGAAAAAAAATGGGGCAATTGTAATAGCTTAATCAATAAAATAAAAATAAAAAATAAAGAAATCTAAAACACTAATTTCAAAAGATATATTCATCCCTATGTTCATTGCCACATTATTGATAACAGCCAAGACATGGAAGCTACCTAAATGTCTATCAATACACAAATGGATAAAGCAGAGGGGGTACATATATACGATGATATATTACTAGGCCATAAAATAAAGAATGAAATTTTACCATTTACAACAACATGGATGGAACTAAAGGGCATTGTGCTAAGTGAAATAAGTCAGAAAGAGAAATACCATATGATTTTACTTATTTGTGGAATCTAAAAAACAAAAAAAAAATGAACAAATAAAACAGAAACAGACACAGAGAATAAACTGATGGTTGTCAAATAGGAAGGGGATTTAGGGACTGAGGTGAAGGGATTAAGAAGTACGTTATGGTAGCTACAAAATAGTCACAGAGATATAATGTACAGCATAGAGAATGTAGTCAATAATATTGTAATAACTTATGGTGCCAGGTGGGTACTAGATTTATCAGGGGATCACTTCATAAGTTATATAAATGTCTAACTACTATGGTATACACATGAAACCAATGTAATATTTAATGTCAACTATAAGTGAAAAATTAAAAATATGTGCAATTTACATATTGTGCAAGGCATGCTCTTGTGGTCATAATTTGTATACTGTTGAGGATATACTATATTATTAATAAATATGCTAAATTAAATTGTGCTGTAATAATGTAAATGTAATAATGTAAATATAATAATGTAAGGTAAATGTAAATGTCCATTTACTCTGTGATGCCAATGGTATTGTAGAAACAACATGAAGTTGTCCGTGGGATCAAGCTAGATAATCTTTTTTGGACATTATATTCCCTCTTCATTGCTCTTAATATCTCTTTGAAGTAACCCTATGTCCTGTTTCAGGCTCAACACGTTTCCAAAATCATACACAATGCCACCTTAACTGTACGCATTAGGCATTCCCAGTGCCCACTATGAAATTACAAGAGAAGCCTATCAAGATCTCACTACTGCATGTTTTTCATACATTGCAGAAGATGAGAGGAAGATACAAGTAAAGGATAAGAAACAGAGTAAAGTCTTTTTAATCACTTGGTCATGGGCAGCTTCCTTATTTTTCATGCCATTTCATTCTGCAGCTCACCTCATGGCATATCAAAAAATCAGCTGTTTTATGGTGAAGACAAAGAGAGTTTAAGTTTAACCATGCATTTCATAGAATGTTAACCTATAGCTGTGTAAGAGTAGCACAGTATTTAGAATTCATCAACGAGAAACCCAAACACATATGACTGCACTAACAAAATGTGCACATTAGTAATGCTTCCCAATAGGTTGTTCTGCCATATTCCTTATGAGATATAGACTATGCAATGAGATTAAATTTAAAGTTATATTTAGAGAGTTAAAAATTTACTCAAGGTCATGCTTTGAGTCAATGATGTAAAAATATTTATTTACTTCCAGCTCCCTTCATTGTTATTGAGTAGTTCTTCTGCCTTAAGAATACAGAGCTAAGAAACTACAGGTAGAACATAAGCAATGTTAATATCAGTGTTATCAGTAATTAAGTTTATCAAATGCTTACTGTGTGTAAGGCACTTTAAGGGGTGAAAAGTAGAGTAAAACATATAATTATAATTTAAAATGACAAAAAATTGTTTTATAATTCTTTTTTTATTTTTTGGTGTGGGTGGTGAAAAATCATCTCTCCCTACTTAAATTGCCAACATTGAAAAGGCAAAATTTCAAATATAAATGTACTCTTTTACAGTAACATAAATTCTCCTTGATTTCCATTGTCATATGTAAATTAAAAAGCCCTTTCTAACATAGTGTTAGGTCAGGTCTCACTTTTTCCTCTTATCGGATATTGCATCCAATCTGTAATGTTTCAGAGAGCAGCGGCCAATTCTGGAACCATATATGCTTTCTGGAACTGTTCCTGCTAGATTATCTCAGCTCTACCACTTAAGAATGAGACAGTCTTGGCCCGTTACTGAATGAAATTCTTTACACCTCAGATTCCCTGTCTATAAAAGGTATGTAATGAAATTTAAGTTACCAATTAAATGATACAGTACATTACTCCTTTGCCAAGCATGAAGAACCATTGAAAGGTATGGGATCATGCTCTCCTACAACAAGCACAGAAAAGTAACAACTGCTCAAAATAATTCTTTCATTGGTCTGCAATGAGCAGGGCCTAAAATGCATATTTTATTCCCCTCCTTGATTTAAAGCCCTAGGTCTCAAGGAAATCCCTGATAAACTATAAATATGTCATATGAAATAATATATTAAATAATTGCCATAAAAGTATATTAAGGTACCTAGTTGTGATGGGTCACAATGGAAAACATTTATTTTTGGCAGTAATAAAAAGAAGCAAAAACAATAAAAAGAAACAAGCTACTTACTGATAATATGCAACAACATGAATGAACTTTATAAATATTATGCTGAGTGAAAGACACCAGACACAAAAAAAAGTTCATATTGTATGATTCCATTTTTGAAATTCTAAAATTATATTTACCACTAAGAAGGACACGAGGAAACATTCTCTGGTGATAAAAAAATTTCTATGTCTTCAAAATGATGTGGGTTACACTAATGCATGTGCAAGTATTTTTCAAAACTGATTTAAAGAAACAAAAGATCTGAGCATTTCACTGTATATAAATTACACTTCAGCTAGTTTATTAACTAAATGTTATTATGGTTATTTTCATTAGTTCTTATATTTTATGGATGCATGCTGAAATATTCACAGATGAAAAAGGTATATGTAATTCTTGAAGTTTATTTAAAAATGGATAAGTAGTGGTAAAAACTGGGGAGTGGGTAGGCATAAAGAAGAAACATGATTAGCCATATGTTGAAAAATGTTGGAAGTTGGGAGACAATGGGGAGTCTCTATTCTATTTCCGTATATTTTTGTTTTAGCTTTTATTTGTTTATTTTCAGGAAGAGGGGGAGGGAGGAAGAAAGAGGAGAGAAACCTCGCTTGGTTGCCTCTCACAAGCCCCCACTGGGGGACTGCCCGAAGCCCAGGCATGTGCTCTGACTGGGAATCGAACCCATGACCCTTTAGCAATCCACTGAGTCACACCAGCTAGGGCTTTCTGTATATTTTGAACATTTTTCATAATTAAATGTTGGAGAGGCAGGGGTCCCCTGGGTTTACCTCATTATAAAAGAAAACTGAACAGAAGGGGGACATAACTTGTACAAGGTCTCAAAGCCAGACAGCGAATCAACTTTCAAACTTAGCCTTCTTCCTCTGACCCCAACGAAGAGTGTTTTGGAAAGGCTACTTTTTAAAAGGGCCCGTCAGTAATATAATGAATTATTTAAGCATACATATATACTTGCTTCCTGCCCTTTTTGGTTTCAAAGGCTTGTTTTGTAGAGTTACACTGCATATTTTTCAAATTTCAGACCCAAGTAAGTGCAAGGATCGGCGAAAGCATCCCTCCCCCCGCAAAATAAACACAGAACAAAATAAAAACACGGTAGACTTGTTTTCCCTTCCAGTGTTAAAAATCATCCTCCCAGGCAAAGAAAGCAAAGGCATTCTGTTAGAGGGAGGAGCTTGGTTCTGCATTCTGACGCGATCCGGGAACAGCTGTTTTCCCTCCCGCTGTGAAAGAGGTGAAAATGCGCTAAGCAGTGCAATAATTGTCTTGCAGCCTGCGCTCGCACGTCTCGGCGTCGTCAGCTCCGAGCGCAACCCAAATCAGAAGTAGGAAAGGTGAGAGGTGTATTTCAGAAGGGGCGGAAGACTACGTGATTAAATGTAAATACGATCGTTCCGGAGAAGAAAACCGCGCTGGGCTTGTCTCCATCCTGGCACTTGAGTGTGGAAAGTAAATTTCACCTCGGGAACGAAAAGCCAAAGGACCGCTCGGCTTCGAGGGCTGGGGAATATTTATTCCTTGTCCAGCGGGTGGGAGAACCTGCGCCTGGCAGGCTCCGATTGGTGGGAGAGAAAATGGTGATGGTGGGGCGGGAGAGGGTTCCACGGGCCTCCTCCCGCCTCCTCAACCTGTAACTCTCCCCTACGCGTCCCCTCGGCGCCCGCCGGTCCCTTCCGCCCCAGGCAAGGTGGAGAGCCGACAGAAATCCGGGGGGTGTTGAAGCAGAAGCACCGTCAACCTGGTGTTCTAAGACCATTAATCAAATTTCACGAGGAAAACGTGCTGTTGGCGGTGCCTCTGTGAGCACTTTCCTGACTCGCCCGCCTCCTTCGGCAGCTCCGCAAGAGGATGACCCTATCTTTGGCGGTCGATCCCTAGGGCCCCGCGCCCCCAAATGGGCTCTGATAAAGGGGTCCCCGCGAAGCCGGAGGAGAGGCAGAGGCTGGGGAGGCGGGGGGGATGGGAAAGAGGGAAAGACATCCGCCCAACCCTAACCGCCCCGGGGGGTCGCCGGAGTCGCCGCGACCCTGAACTTGCGGTGGAGCACGGAGCAGCCCCACCTTCCCGCAGCCCGCCTCCCGCCGGCGGGCGCCCGCAGTCGGGCGCAGCCTCCCCACCCGCGTCCCCCTCCGAGGGGGCGCGGCGCGCGCGGCGCGGGAGCTGCGTGCGCGGGGCGAGGGGCGGGGAGAGGCGCTGACAAATCAGCCGCGGGGGCGGTGAGCGAGGAGAAGCAGGAGGAAAAGGAGGAGGAGGAAGAAGATCGCGAGGACCAGAAGGGAACCCGAGAAAGGGGGCGAGCGACCGAGAGCGGCGACGCGGGGTGAGGTGTGTGCTGGTTTTAAAGCAGACCCGAGGGCCCGCGAGCCCTGCCTTCGGCATCCTTCGCTTTCTCCCCGCCTTCCCTTCCGACCCCCGGCTCTTTCTCTGGGGTCCTCGTGTGCTGGGGACTGGGAGTGACAGTTCGACGACAGGTTCGTGGTTTGGCTCACACGCCGCCCGCCGCTCACCCCTCGGTGGTGCTGACGGCAGCCTCCTCTGGGCACCGTCCCTCTCCTGGTGCCGCCTCTGCCCTTCTTCCCTAATCGGCGCTCCTAATCCTCCCTCTTCCATTTAAATACTACTTGGGAATTGATTAAATGTTTTTAAGGGAATAGGGGAAATCAGACATCTGAGGAGCAGAAGGACTCAGGTAAGCACCTGTGGATCTAAGTGGGCAGCTTCGTAAATCCTGGGGAACACCTGGTGAAAAGAAAGCCCTTGCGGGCGCTTGGCAAGGGGGGTCGTGCTGCAGCAGGGACCCGCTGTGCCGAGCCTCGCTCGGAGCTGAGTGAGCTTGAGGAGAGTAGATTGGCCAGGCTTTCCTCCCTCTTGTGAGATTTTCTTCCTCTCAAAAGGCAGAGAGGTCAGGCTTCTCCGGGACACATTTTTCCTTCAGGAAACGCTTGGATGCTGGATGCAGCGTGAGCATCCAACTTCATTTCTCTCTTACCTTGAACCCCCAGTCCTGCCTCTTGGTTCTCTCCGTAAAGTAACCAAGCAATGTTTGGCAAATAAATAAGTGCAAGTGCACAGAGGACAAGTCAACAGGTGGTAAGGGGTTAACAGGTGCGGGCGCGGAGTGGGGAGAGGCGTCGGAGCTCGAAGAGAACGCCTCCTGGGGCCGCAGGCACGAGTCTGGAGTCAGCCAGCGGGCGCGAACGGGCGCCTGCTCAAGGCAGATAGCCCGGGGCGCGGGTGGGTGGTGGAGTGGATTAGAGCTTCAGGGAGTGGGCTCTCTGTGGGCCGGAGATACAGCCACACCCAGGATGACAGTTCTCTTTCCTCTTCTCTCCAGGTGGACCTGTTAGCACTCCTCTGGGATTCATTTTCGGAGTGCCCCTAACCAAAAGCCCCAGCTAGCTCCCTCTCTTTTCCAGGCTTGACTTCTAAACGTACTTCTAATTTATACTGTCACCGTTGGGACCCTGGGAAGTTGAAAGAGGGGTCCATCTTTTCATGCAGCTCCACCTCGGAAATGCAGTAACAACAGCTGAGATGATTCATCCTAATCCATGTTTAGGCAGCTAGATTTGTACTAGCCAAGATGGATGGGGCATGCTCAGTTTTTAATGAAAAACTAAAAAAAAGCTGAAAAAAAAAGCTTCTTTGCCCAATGGTTGAAATAGGGTACAGTTAAAAGAGCCACCACACTTTCTGGAGTTCTACTGATCTCTCGGGGTGCTTCCAGTTTTGTTTTATTTTACCCAAAAGTTCTCATTCGAAGTGTGTTTTGTGTCTTCCAGTGCGGTGTAAAGGAATTCATTAGCCATGGATGTGTTCATGAAAGGACTTTCAAAGGCCAAGGAGGGAGTTGTGGCTGCTGCTGAGAAAACCAAGCAGGGTGTGGCAGAAGCAGCAGGAAAGACAAAAGAAGGTGTTCTCTATGTAGGTGGGTAAGCCTCAGTGTCATCTTTTCCCATCTTTCTTTTTCTTCATTGTTGTTGAAGCACAGTTGTCTCCATTTTCCTCCCACTACTCCCCCCACTTCAGACATCCCCACCTTCTACCCTCCATCCTACCCCCCTTTGGCTTTGTCCATGTGTCCTTTATACATGTTCCTGACAAGCATTCCCCCATTCCCCTCATTATCCCTTCCCACCTCCCCTCTGGTTACTGTCAGTTTGTTCTTAATTTCAATATCTCTGGTTATATTTTGCTTGCTTGTTTTGTTGATTAGGTTCCGCTTATAGGTGAGATCATATGGTACTTGCCTTTCACTGCCTGGTTTATTTCACTTAGCATAATGTTCTCCAGTTCCATCCATGCTGTTGCAAAGGGTAGAAGCTTCTTTCTTTCTGCTGCATAGTATCCCATTGTATAAATGTACCACAGTTTTTTGATCCACTCATTTACTGATGGGCACTTAGGCTGCTTCCAGCACTTGGCTATTGTAAATCAACAAGCAACAAGTGCTGGCAACATTGTGGAGAAAAGGGAACCCTACTGCACTGTTGGTAGGAATGCAGATTGGTGCAGCCACTATGGAAAACAGTATGGAATTTCTTCGGAAAACTGAAAATGGAACTTCCTTTTGACCCAGCAATTCCACTGCTGGGATTATACACTAAGAACCCTGAAACACCAATTCAAAAGAACCTATGCACCTCAATATTCACAGCAGCACAATTTACAATACACAAATGTCATTTTGATATTATTTGTAATTAATGAGTTAGGATGATTAATGCTCTAAATGTTGATATCTCTCTCTGGATTCATTTTTGCCTCATCACTTGTCAAAAGGATGGACTGAGTCAGAGTTATGAGTGGGTAGGTGAATGTGTATGTATATTTGAGCTAATAGTAAAAAGTGAATGTAATATTGTACTTTTCCAGATTATTGAATTTTATAATAATACCTAGGACTTTTTTGTTACTTTAAAAATGTTTATGTACATAAAGGACTATTTAAAAGGATGTTTTTTTAAAAAATCAGTCTTTTCAAAAATAATGTTTTTAAAAGAATCAAAATCATTCATGGGTCTTTGGCTTCTTTTGTCATTATGAATGATTTTAGAGTATTCATTTAAAAAATATCTAAAAGGAGACCTGAAAAACAAAGGACGTAGTCTTTGTTTTTTAACAAAGACTTTTATAAGTCTTTGGTGGATTCTTTGGGACCACATGACAAGCTGGGGAATAAGAGCTCAAAAAAGTGCTTGAGGGTTGCTACTAATGTCTTAGGGACATTTATATAGTTCCTTTATCAAATGATACACAAAATAAATAATGAGATTGATGCTTATCATTTCTACCTTTCCTTAAATTCCCACCTTGGGGTATTCATGAAAACCCTGACTCTTTTCTTATCTTAAACCATATATTGTTAGGTTGGGCGTTATTTCACAAACTTCAGATTCTTTGCGGGGAGGAATAGACATACACGTAGACACACACTCATCCACAGGGACAGACACACCCATGTATGCACATTCCCATTCCGCCTGTCCTCTTTGCCCTCTGCTCCTCTGAGCTCTTCCACACTCTTGGGTGGCCCCTGTAGCAGCAGTAGCCACAGAATGAGCAGACAGGTGGAGGATGAGCATATCGAGTGGTCTAGGGTACCACACCTGTGTCTGTGTGGTGAAAGACAGCTACTCTGTCTCTCCAACATAGATGAGTTGGAGGATAGTTATTCTTAGAATGATTTTTATGAATGCTTCTCTCTTTCTGGTCACTATTCATAGACTCTTTCATATTGGTTGATCTTAACACAATCTTCAGTTTAATTACTTTCTTGATCTTAAAACATTTTCAGAAAATCATTGAATTAAAATGTTACAAGAGAAAAATTGGTAAGTTAATTTCAAGTTCTTTTTTGAAGTGTAAATTATATCTTTAGATGGAATTTGGACTACTGACTCAGTGACATGCAGATAATTAATATCTTTATATTTGTCCACAGAATCAGTGCAGATAATTAAAATATTTTTATATTTGTCCTCAGTTTCTCGAGTTGTACATGTATGTGCTTAGAAATGTTCTTTGATTTCAGTTACTTTTAAACTTAATGACTTTAAAGATTTTTTAAAAGATTTTATTTATTTTTAGAGAGATGGGAAAGGAGGGAAAAAGAGAGAAACATCAATGAGTGGTTGCCTGTTGTGTCCCCCCAACTGGGAAACTGGCCCACAACCCAGGCATGTGCCCTGACTGGGAAGCAAACTGGTGACCCTTTGGTTCTCCGGCCAGTGCTCAGTCCACTGAGGCACACCAGCCAGGGCTAAAGATCTTTTTATAACATTCACTTGATTAGTTTGTAGTGAGTCCAGAAACTATTGAAAATTAAATTAATACATTTGCTGTTTTCCAGGTAACAAACAAGTTTTTCTTACTTGTAAAACTTTTAATTTGTTTTTATTGTTAACTGTGAGTTTGGACAAGTAAAATTTTATTTTCAGAGGTGAATTCTGTTATTCTCTTTGGCGTTATTTTATAAAGTTGTGATTTGTTTATGTGTTACATTTAAAAAATAATCTTTAATGTCTATTAATGATATTTGATATATAGTAAGTTCTATAAATTATTTATTAGCTTTATACTAACATCTAGTTAAAACTTGAACCCAGACACAGGATTTTGGATGAGAAGGGACCATAAGAAGATACAATAGCACAGTATAGTTGTTGAGAAACTTTCTGTAAAGATCTAGATAATAAATATTTAGGCTATAATATCTCTGTCTCAACTGCTTAACTCTGCTATTGTAGTGTGAATGAAGCCATAGATAATAATCAGTGTGTCTGTGTTCCAATAAAACTATTCTTACCAAAACCAGTGGTGAGTTAATATAGTTTGTTGGCTGTAACTTTCTGACTCTGGGTAAAGTAAAAACAACATACATTTTACGTTAGACAAACCTAAATTCTAGTCCAGGCTGCATCACGTATTGCCTCTAGGATACTGGGGAAGTTACTTAACCTTTCTGACTACCATGTTCCTCATTTGTAAAAATACAATTTAGACAAATGTAACTACTTTGCAGAGTTTTTGTGAGAATATCATGATAAAAAGAGAACATATAAGTTACATAGCATACTTTTAAAAAATTAAGTGTTTTATTATTTAGAGCAGTTTCAGGTTCACAGAAAAATTGAAAGAAAGAGGTTTCCTATGTGCTCCCAAACCCCACACATTCATAGCCTCTCTCACCAGAGAAGTACATTTGTTCTCATTGATAAACCTACACTGACACACCATTATCACCCAGAGTCCGTAGTTTACCTTAGGGTTCATTCTTGATGTTGGACATTACATAGGCTTGGACAAGTGTATAATGACAGCTATTTATCATTCAAGTATCATACAGTAGTTTTGGTGCCCTAAAAATCCTCTGTGCTCTATTTATCCCCTCCCCCAGCCCTAAGCAACCACTAATATTTTTTTACTGTCTTCAGACTTTTGCCTTTTCTAGAAGGTCATATATTTGAAATCATATAGTATGTAACCCATTGAAAGTGACTTGTTTCACTCAGTAATATGCATTTAAGTTTCTTCCATGTCTTTGCATGGCTCATCAGTTCATTTCTTTCCAGCACTGAATAATATTCTATTGTCTGAATGTAAAATTTATTTGTTCACCTCCTGAAAAACGTCTTGGTTGCTTCAAAATTTGGCACTTATGAATAAGGCTGCTATAAACATCCATGTGTAGGTTTTTGAGTAGACATACGTTTTCAGTTCCTTTGGCTAAATACTAAAGAGTACAATTGCAGGCCAAAGAGAATGTGCTTAGATTTGTAAGGAGCCTTCGAACTCCAGAGGGGCTGTGCCATTGTTCATTTCCTGTAGCAGTGAATGAGTGCTCCTGTTGCTTCACATACCATCCAGTGTTGAGTGTTTGGTTTTAGCCACTTTAATAGTGGTAACTATTGGCTGTTTCACTTTGTATTTCACTGATAAAAATATGATGTGGAGCCTTCTCATACACTTATTTACCATCTGCTGTCCTTTTTGGTGAAGAGTCTATTCAGGTCTTTTGCCATTTTTTAATTGGGTTATTTATTTACTTTTTAGTGTTGAGTTTTAAGTGTACTTTGCATATTTTGAATAACAATCCTTTTTCAGATGTATCATTTTTTGAACATTTTCCTGTACACTGTTGGTTGTTTTCTCATTCTCTTGACATGTCTTTCCCAGGACATAATTTTAATGAAGTCCAGTTAATTGATTCTTTCATTTCTGGGTCATGTCTTTGGTTTTGTATCTAAAAAGTCATTGCCATACCCAAGGTCATGGAAGTTTTTTCCTATGTTATATTCTAGGAATTTTATATTTTTGCATCTTACATTTAGGGTTCTAATATCTTTTGAATTTTTTTTGTATGTGTAAACGGTGTAAACTTGGTGTCTAGATTCTTTTTGTTCTGTTTTATTTTTTTGCACATAGATTTCTAGTTGTTCCAGTACCATGTTTGGAAGGACTATCTTTGCTCTATTGCATTACCTTTGCTCCTTTATCAAAAAGCACTTGACTATGTTTATGTGGTCATATTTTGGGGCTGTCAGTTCCATTGATCTATTTGACTGTTCTTTTGCCAATGCTACACTCTAGCTTTATAGTAAGTCTGGAAGTCAGATAGTGCCAGTCCTCTAACTTGTTCTCCTTCAACAGTGTTTTGGGTGTTCTGGGCCTTTTGCCTCTCCACATAAACTTTAGAATCTGTTTGTCAATATCTACAAAATAACTTGTTGGGATTTTGATTGGAACGGAATATAGATCAAGTTGGAAAGTACGACATCTTGACAATATTGAGTCGTCCTAGTGATGACCACAGAATATCTTTGTATTTATTTATTTCTTTGATTTTGTTCATCAGAGTTTAGTAGATCTTATATATATTCTGTTAATACTCAAGAACTTCATTTTTTTTGGCTCTAATGTAAATGG